AGGTCAGCTTAATGATGTCTCCCAGGAGTGTGGATTTTTCACTCCCTGAGACACCTAGCTGGGCACATGTAACATTTGGTGTACACCAATCTCAACCTTCCACCTCATTATTTTGATATAGAGCAATTCCCATTTTAAGAATTATGCTCTACTGTGTATGTACTTTTTTTTTTTTTACTTGTACGAAATTGCTGTAGGTAATTTTTGAAGGGTCTTGTTATCAGCTAAAACTTATATTTGAGAACTTACATTTTTTATAAATCTGGACCACATCACCGCCAACCGCAGTGACTGAATCCTGATGGGTGTGATGTGGTGTCTTCATGTTTAGTGATGCAGGAATTAAACTCAGCCTCTTTGGTAATAATGTTTAGTTTAGTTTTCATGCCAGTATCCTACAAGTTCTTTAAAGAGTATGGCCATAAAGGAAAAGTTTTAAAGGACATGATAATGAAAACATACTTATTCTGAATATGGTTTCCATGCCTTTCTATATGCCATTGGAAAAAAAAGTCCAGAAAAATGCAATGAATTTTATAATGTAGAGAATAAAAACGCACTTTGACCTATTTTAGCTGATAATGCTGTCTTGAGTTTGTGATCTGCTTAGCACACAGTTGTTCAGATATTGGTGGTATTAGTATTTCTAGAGTAGGTTACAATAATTCAAAATCCATGGTAGATGTTTCTTTCACCAGTTGACAATGATTAACCCTCTGAATTCTTTGGAATTAAGAGCTGGTATCCATACAACCTGTGCCTAAAATGGAGAATAGCTTATTCAGAAAAACTTATGGTCACATAAGCAAGGAGGTATTTTTATACAATAGAGCTATGTGGGATAACTGTCATCAGTAAACTACCTCTAAAATATTAAATGTTGCAAAAATAATAACTTCCTATTTCTCTTTTTAGATGCAGCAGCTGTTTTATGAAAATTATGAGCAAAACAAAAAAGGCTACATCAAAGACCTTAGAAATAGCAAGATACACCGAGCTATAACATTACATCCCAACAAGAATCCCCCGTACCAATATAGACTTCATAGCTATATGCTGAGTCGCAAAATCGCAGAACTGCGTTACCGCACTATACAGCTGCACAGAGAAATTGTCCTGATGAGCAAATACAGCAATGCAGAAATACACAAAGATGATCTTCAGCTGGGGATACCACCTTCTTTTATGCGGTTCCAGCCACGCCAGCGTGAAGAGGTTCTGGAATGGGAGTTCCTTACAGGAAAGTATCTCTATTCTGCAGCTGATGGACAGCCCCCTCGGAGAGGGATGGACTCATCTCAGCGTCAAGCATTGGATGACATTGTTATGCAGGTCATGGAAATGATCAATGCCAATGCTAAGACTAGAGGGCGGATCATAGATTTCAAGGAGATACAATATGGCTATCGCAGAGTTAATCCTATGTATGGAGCAGAGTATGTTCTTGACTTGTTGCTTCTATACAAAAAGCACAAGGGAAAGAAGATGACCGTGCCTGTCAGAAGGCATGCCTATCTACAGCAGACATTCAGCAAGATCCAATTTATGGAGCATGAAGAGATAGATGCCAAAGAGCTGGCCAGCAAAATTAACCAAGACTCTGGATCCTTGTCTTTCTTGTCCAATTCATTGAAGATGTTTGTTCCATTCCAGCTCAGTGGATCAAAAGCAGAGCGGAAGGAGCCCAAAGACAGGAAGATCAACATCTTGATTCCTCTTTCTGGACGCTTTGATATGTTTGCAAGGTTCATGGGGAATTTTGAGAAAACTTGCCTCATTCCCAGTCAGAACGTCAAGTTGGTCGTCCTGCTTTTCAATTCTGACTCAAATCCTGACAAGGCGAAACAAATTGAATTGATGAGAGATTACCGTGTTAAGTATCCTAAGGCTGACATGCAGATCCTGCCAGTGTCTGGGGAATTTTCAAGAGCTTTGGCTCTTGAAGTTGGATCTTCTCAGTTTAAAAATGAGTCTTTGCTCTTCTTCTGCGATGTTGACCTCGTGTTTACCTCAGAGTTTCTCCAACGGTGTAGATCAAATACAGTTTTGGGCCAACAAATATACTTTCCAGTTATCTTTAGTCAGTATGATCCAAAGATAGTTTATAATGGAAAAGTTCCTAGTGACAATCATTTTGCTTTCACCCAGAAAACAGGTTTCTGGAGGAACTATGGCTTTGGCATTACCTGTATTTACAAAGGTGATCTCCTTAGAGCAGGGGGCTTTGATGTCTCTATCCAAGGTTGGGGCCTAGAGGACGTGGACCTATTTAACAAAGTCATTCAAGCTGGCTTAAAGACTTTCCGAAGCCAAGAAATCGGAGTTGTTCATGTACATCATCCAGTCTTTTGTGATCCCAATCTTGATCCAAAACAATACAAAATGTGCTTGGGGTCCAAAGCTTCAACTTATGGGTCCACACAACAATTGGCTGAACTATGGTTTGAAAAAAATGACCCTAATTTTGGGAAGAGCAGCAATACTAATGGCTCAGTGAGGACAGCCTAATGGTCCAGCTATGCTGGAGAAGACTTTTTTTAATTATCTAATTTATTTTTGGAAAATGTTTTGATAGTTCATTTTTAAAGACCACACAAGGATATATTTTAGAAATCATGTTTTCTTACCACAAACTCTTTTTTGAGAATGAGCTTTTTTGAACAAAACTGTGATATTTGCCTTTGAACAAAAGTTTTGGCTGAGTATTATCTGGCAGATCTGCATAATTTGATGACTTGAAATAAGGTTTCCATATAAACAAAGGACCTTTCTTTAAAAAACAAAAAACAAACCAAAAAAAAATCCCTTTTTCCATTGCTGTCTTTTTTGCTAGGATTTTATAAATTGGAAAACCCTGTATCTAACCTATTGTGTTGTGACTGTTACATTACACAAAGTCTATCCTTTTTAAATAGCCATAATGTTCAGATTGTGATAGAACAAAGCAAAAGTGTGTGGCAATAGTTGGGTTATTGATTTCAAAAGTATTTCAGTTGGTTGATTTATTTCAACCAAGAGTGTACTTTTGCTTATTGTGGCTGAGCAAAACTTTTAGAAGGGGATGTAGAAAAGAAGCACAACCTCGTATCAGATTAGTCCATCTGTAAGTTTTTGTCTGACATTTGGCCCATATGTGGATTTAACATTAAAAATTCCATGGTGGATTCTGTGTATTTAAAATTATTCTCTTGTCTTGAGCAGAGCTTGCATGATGGTGAAATGCTAAGTTGTAATGAGTGTGAGAGGGAGAAATAAGAATTTCTCACCGCTAAAAAGGACACAATTAAAAATTTGAAATCCTTAATGAGAACATTGGAAACTTACATCTCATTGCATTCATTTTGTTCAGTCAGTTACCACAGTGTTTCTCAACCTTTTTTTATAAAACCTTAAAAAAAATAACTACCCCTAGTACCTACAGTTTTCAGACACACACACAATTTTTCTACCATTGTAACATATTTGTTTAAACAACTTAATTGTAATTAAGGCAGGCGATGAAATATTTAGGTGTAAAAAGTACAAAAATAATAAATTGCTGTAAAACTTTAAACAAAAATTGAGTTTTCTCCAATTTTCAGTTTTGTTGACGTACCCCCCAGACTTCTCGCGAGTACCCCTAAGGGTTCTCATACCACTGGTTGAGAAACACTGAGTTACAAGATGTTGATGGAAACAGTTGTTACAGTCTTTGGCTACTAGTTCCTTTTGTTTTCTGTATCTGATAGACCTTTAATTTATTTAATATCCATTGTTTTAGGTTCCTGCCCTTTTCTTGAATATGTTAGCCATTTATTTATATATATATATTAGAAATGTATTGCTTTTTCTCACTGTTAAGGTAGTGTACATCTTACTTGCAGTAAACTGTGATCTCCAAAGATTTCTTTTGAAAGTATTTTTTATTCCAAATTTCTTTTAAAATTTTACTTGTGTGACTCAAATAACCTTGGAAAGTGATTTGATGCTCTGAGGTGTTGAGTAGAAAAAAATGATTCATTTGAGTTATCACCTAGTAAAGGTTAAAGAAACATTCAATAAAGTGCCTTAAAGTAAACAAAAAGAAGGGGGGATCTTTTGCATTGAGACTTAGAACAGTGATGGAAATTGCCGTTGAAGCAGATCATACATTTGGATCTAATATCTTTTGCTCAGAAATTAAAAATAAAATCAGCAAACAAAATATTTTTCTATTGACTCTTCAACACCATTTTACCTCTATTCCCAGTTCCATTTCAGTAATATAAAGACCTACCCTTTGGGAGGTGAAAGGTTGTAAAAGAGATTGAAAATCCATATTTAGATTGGATTTACTAAGTTTTACGGGGTCTTTATGGAGTTATTGCTTGAATATTCCAATAGAAAAAATTAGTGGTTGTGCATTTATAAAGTATGAATTACATTTGCAACTAGTCTAGATGTCGTACAGATGTTGTCATTTTTTGGTGAGAGCGCCAGGGATGTAGATACTTATGGATTCAATGCATGGAAAATATTGAAAGTCTTGGTCCTAAGATGCAATAAAGATTTGTATTTGCAATCCTATCTCATCATGTTGTCTGCCTCAGTCCTCATCTTACATAGCAGGCACAGTTTTAGGTACGTATTATAGCCAAAAATTGGGTGTGATATGAACCAAAGTACCATTTATACACAAGTTCTTGTCAGCTGTTCCAAATTTCAGATGCAATAGCCCTACTGCTCTTTACTGTTACGAGAAGTTTGTTTATGGAGCTCTTTGAAGTCTGCCTTGTGAGAAGATTTAAACTGCTTCAGCAGGTAATCAAGATGCCCGAAGCTACCTATAACCATAAACCGAAAGCATACTGTTTCCTAGCTGAATAACTCTGTATTTTTGTGTACTCTTAATTTTTATCATGCATAGGCCCCTTTTTCAGAGATACTGAGCACTTCCTCACTGTTATCTCTTCCATTTTTATCAGACCTCTCTAAATAGTTTGTTTTTTCTTAAGCCCCCAATCTTTGGAGTCATGTGATTATATAAAGAGTCAACTGATCTTTAGAAGTGCTGAGAACCAACTGTTTCTGTTAGTTTCAATAGGAGCCCTGAGTCTTGCATGCTTCTGGAAATTAAGCTAAAAGTGTGAGAGTAAGCAAATTAAATTAGTGATTGCTTCTGAAAATGATGGTCTTTAGTGTCTGAGATAGAAGGCATTATTTTGTATGTATATGTTTTGTATTATTATATTTTGTATTATAAATGCAAGGTATGAAGACCAACATTTCCAGAAGTGGCTAGTGACTTTGCATGTTTAATTTTTAGGGGAGGTGGTGGAGACACCATACAGGGACAGAGCCGCCTATACTGGGTAGTCAGGCAGTAGATGAGATGTCTTGATTTTTAGGTAAAGCTTTTGACATGCTCTCACTAACATACTAACATTCTTATGAACAAACTAGGGAAATGTGGTCTAGATGAAATTACTATAAGATGAGTACACAACTGGTTGAAAGTATATGCTTAGAGTAGGTACGTCAGACAGGGAGAATATCTAGTGAGGACCCGTAAGGTAGGACTTGGATCTGTTATGATTCAGTATTTTCATTTGCAACTTAGTGGTATGAACAGTGTCCCTGTGAAATTTGTGTATGACTCTAAGCTGGGACAGGGCTGCAGGCATTTTGGAGGAAAGCATTAGGGTTCAAAACGATCTTGAAATCGACAAGAAATTCAAGAGGGGAAAAAAGCCACCATTGCTAAACACAGTAAAAAGGTAGCCTTGAAAAATGGAAAGTCCTGTCTTACTCAGGAAAATACAAAGGAGCATAAACTCTAGCAAGCCAAGTGTAAAAGTATAATTAGGCAGGCCAAAAAAAGAATTTGAAGAGTGTTTAGCAAGAGACTCCGAAACTAGCAGCAAAAGTACATCAGAAGCAAGGAGCTTGCCAAACAAACAGTGGGACCGCTGGAAGATGGAGTGGTAATGGAGTACTCAAAGAGAAAGCCATTGCAGAGAAGCTAAATGAGTATGAGGGGGAGATTCCCACACCTGAGCTGTTCTTTTTAAGTGACAAATGTGAAGAACTGTCCTAGAATGAGATGTCAGCAAAGGTGATTTTGGAACAAATTGGTAAATTAAATACTAAAAAGTCACCATGGCTAGATGATATTCACCCAAGAGTTCTGAAAGAACTCCGTTATGAATTTGAAGAACTAACAACTGTTGTATGTAAACTCTCACTTCATCAGCCTCTGTACCAAGTGACCAGATGTTAGCTAATGTAACACCAATTTTTTTAAGACTTCAGAGGCAATCCCATCAATTACAGGCCAGTAAACCTAACTTCAGTTCCAGACAAATCAGTTCAAATTAGTGTAAAGTACAGAATTATCAGACACGTAGATTAATATGATTTGTTGGGAAAACAGCCAATGTGGCTTTTGTAAAGAGAAATCACGCCTCATCAATCCATTAGAATTATTTGTGGGAATTTTTGAAAAGGTCCGTTAGAATTCTTTGTGAGAATTTGTGAGAAGGTCCTCTCATGGATCAAAATCGGTTTAAAGACCGGAAACAGAGGGTAGAATAAATGATCAGTTTTCAGAGTGGGAGAGAAGTCAATAATGGGGTCCCCCCAGAGATCTGTAGGGGGCCAGTGCTGGTCAACATATTCATAAATGAACTGGAAAAAGGTAAACGTTGAGGTGGCAAAATTTGAAGATGATACAAAGCTATTCAACAGTTAGGTTCAAAGCAGGCTTTGAAGCATTACAAATGAATCCCACAAAATTGGGTGACTGGGCAATAGAATGGCAAATGAAACTCACTGTTGATAAATGCACATTGGAAAGCATTCCCCTTTATGCAAACAAAATAATGGAGTCTAAATTAGCTATTACCATGCAAGAGATCTTGGAGACATTGTGGCTAGTACTTTGAGAGAATCTCCTCAATGCACAGTGGCAGTCAAAACAACTAGCAATGTTAGGAACGATTAAGAAAGCTAATAGATACTAATTCAGAAGATATCAGAATGCTTCTATATAAATCTATAGTATGACCGACCACATTTTGAATACGGTACACAACTCAAAAAGAGATGCATTAGAAATGGAAAAGGTGCAAAGGCCAACAAAAAACATTGAAGGTATGGAACAGCTTCCAACAGGAAAGATCTGGGACTGTTCAGCTTGGAAAAGAGACCACTATGAGGGAAAATGATAGACATCTATAAAAGAGAAAGTACATAAGGAAATGTTATTTGCCCCCCTTCAAATAACATAAAAACTGGGGGGGTCACATAATAAAATTAAGAGGCAATAAGTTTAAAACAAACAAAAGAAAGTACTTCTTCGCACAACACACAGTCAACATGTGGAACTCGTTGCCTGGGAGTGTTGAAGGCCAAAACTATAATAGGATTTTTAAAAATTAGATAAATCCATAGAGGATAAATCTGTCAATAGCGAAGAGCCAAGATGGAAAGGGATGTTTCTCAACCTCTGACTGCCAGATGCTGGGATTAGACGGCAAAAGATGATCGCTTGATAACTCCCCTGTTCTCTTCATTCCCTCTGAAGTATCTCGCATTGGCCACTGTCAGAAGACAGGATTCTGGGCTAGATGGACCATTGATCTGACCCAGTGTGGCCACTCGAATGCTCTTATGAATCCTTCTAGTAAAAACTACTGTACTGAATTTGTCTGTACCTCTGGCGGGAGGGCTGGTGCTATAGATCTGGATGATGCAGTTTCTCTCCTTTAACAATCTCTGATCAGAACAGACATGAGTACAGATGAAGGACATATGGTGCAGCAATGCCAGTCAGGCAGTGAAAGTTAGGGAATGTATCTTTTCAATAAACAGTCCCTCTTTTTTTTTTCCTTCTTCTTTTTTTTTCCCTCTACCCTCTGAACCAGGACTACTCAACACAGCAGCCTGTGGGCCACATGCGGCCTATTTGTTTGCGGCCCACGGGTGGAAGCCAAAACAAAAAAGTAGTCCATGTAATGGTCTTCTGTTTATATGTGTTCTAGTAGTTAATTCCTGGATTGTCATTGCTCGTTAAAAGTGCTGTCATATGGGTGGAAATCAGGTAAATGTTGCATTTTATTAATAGCAGAACTAACATAAATGGGGCCCGTGTGTTGTGTAGTCTTGCCTTAATCTTTGTATTCATGCCTGTCAGTGTGAAAAGCTATTTGCATATATTTGCATATATATTTGCATGTATCTGCAACCACACTTAAGTTGCAGCCCTTGGCATGTGCTCTGAATATCATTGTGCCCCCCGGGGCTTCCAAAGTCGAGTAGCCATGCTCTAAACATTCTGTGATACTAAATATGTTGCTAATCATATGAGTATCTCATGGCAAAAGTAATACTTGCGGTCAAACCCAGATTTAGAAGCAGGTGACCCATCTGGGGTGTCAGGCATGGGATGCACCGGGCTCTCGGCATTGTTTTTTTATTTGTGACAAAAGGGGAAATAGAATATTTGAAATAAAATGTTTCAGGCATTCCATATGTGGATTCATTTTGCTCTAACCTCCTAGAATATTCTGGACTATTGTCATGGGTGGCAGCTATAAGAGACCAGGGGAGTTAATGCCTCCCTTGGGTCTTAGTGCTCAACCTTTCCCCTCTTCCTATCCTTATTCTGACCATTCCTGAAGTTTCCCACAGCAGGCTGTTGCAACTTCACAGTCTGGTGACTCTTCCCTGAAGTGGATCTGTTAAATTAAAAGTGAAAAGCCTTTCAGCTTGCCAGACCTATTAGCATAACCTTGAATCTGTGAAAGAACCATAAAGTGACAAACCATTTAACAGGCATGTGCCAACCCAATTGACTGACAAAAACAGTTGAGCATTACTATGTCTACAAGAGCCTAGTTTAAAATTTTGCTTTAAATATTAGATTAGTTTGTGGCTGAAGGTTATAAAATCACATCTGTAAAAAATCCATTTATATATATTTTGATGTACAATCTGAGTATTCATCTTTAGCCTTGAATTCTTGGATTCTCATACATAGTTTTTCAGAATAAATTCTTCAAAAGACACATTTTAGGGGAAGTGAGGGAGACACCGTACAGGGAAAGACATCTTCTCTAAAATACACATTTTAATTTTAATCACTATAGTACAAAAACTTGCTTCCAAAATCTTCCTGTCCTTTCTGTCCATCCCTACTCTCCTTTCACCCCCATGTTGAAGAGAGCCCTTAAAGGGACAACATTACTTTTCTTCCAGATAGCTAGGTGAAGGAGTTTATTTCCCTTTTACTTCTGACTACAGTAAAACTCCAATAGTCCAGCATCCAATAGTCCGGCACTCCTGATAGTCCGGCATCAAAATGGCAAGAGCCTAGTGAGTGAGCTTCGGCAAAAAATGAGTCACAAGGTAACAGCGGCAGCAGCTGAACTGAGCAAAAAGGGTAAAAAAGGCTTAAAAAAACTAAAACATTACAGTATACTGTATAACGTATGTACAGTAAAAAGGGTTAAGAACACTTTATATACAGTATATAATGTATACAGTGTATATATATAACCAGTTTATAGCACCTCCTGATAGTCCGG